CGCAGGCGGCAATGGGCGTGTACACCTTAGTAGAACTTTTAACACAAACCATGTTCATAATGATCCTTTTATACATAAATAATGATTGAAGACATAATTCGATCGAAAAATTAACTGGAATGTTTTATTTTTGGACATAAATAATAGTAACTTCTGAAAACGGACCCTCTTATGACGTAGAAACCTCATCTCGACATGGTTAAAAGAAAATACCAAACGCCCCACGGAGGCTGAGGCAACTGATATATTAATTCTTTCAACTGTGATCTCGCGCTAATGCACTCTGTCAGAAATCATGTATCATTCATCTCTGTCTGGAATAGTCTTGTTTCAGTATTAGGGTTTTGACGTCACATCATCGCCTCGTTTTCAGAGGTCCGAAAAATCGGGGATTTCAATAATTTTTTCTGAAACGTAGGGAGCTCACAGCAAGAAACGGTTTGCGGTGGTGAGCTAGTTTGGGTGAGTTCTATCGAATTATGAAATACATTTTTTTTGTGAAATAAGCCCATTATCGAGATGTCCTTGATATGTCACAAAACTACCTTCTCCCTAGTTCTTTTTGAAGCCTTTTCATGGACACAACAGAACATTTTCAACGCGTCTTGCGCACATTAGATCGCTGTAAAAAAAACATTTTCGAGGTACTTTTCTGAAGCCTTTTGTCAAAATGAACTTTTGCATTAGGATTCCATTTCCCTTGAATGAAAAAATGCATTAAAAATAGATTGAACATAAAAATATTTTCTTGATATGGAATTACCTTCTTAATCGGTTTCTGAGTAGTGCTTACTACACACAGACATATAATTGGAAATAGGTTTTCCAATTTTTGAAATGTTCTCCACAATGCATAATTTTGCAACTGCGGAGAAGCTGTGTATTGATGAATTCGTACTTTTATATATTGATTACACTGAGGCACCGAACAACACATCTTGCATCTGATGGTCATTATTACAAACTAAATAAGTCTTCTAACACAATAAACTTCACCAAATTCCTTTCTGTTCGTTAGCAGCGTGATGTAAGCGTGACACGCTGCAAACGCGAATGCCAATTGCGAACAAGAAGAACAAAATCGAAAACAAATCAGAATTCATCGTATTGTGACGTAAGCATGAGACGTTGTGGTGGAACAAACAAAGAAAGGGCACAAAAGAACTAAAACAATACTTTCAATATCCTTCTGAGACCTCTTTGGGAAGTGCATATTACGCCTCAAAAAAACATCCTCATGCCTACATTTCTGAAACATTCCAAAACATCCCAGGGATAAATCTCAGTAGGCAAACAAAGAAATGCCACAGAAGAACAAAAACAATACTTCAATATCCTTCAAAGACCTCTTTGGTCAGTGCATATTACGTCTCAAAATAACATCTTCATGCCAACATTTTCAAAACATCCCAAAACATCCCAGGGATGTTTGTGCTCGCTGGGAGATTTATTATAGGTAAGAACACAAATCCATGAACATAATTTGAATATGCATTCAACAGAACATAACATGGATGCATCAATTATTTGATAAAATATACAGTGTGTATCAAGGTTGCACAGCATGGGGATCTCGGAACTGAAGGAGATACGAATTCGGTTGGAATATGAGAAAAGTTGCGCATTCAGAGGGTCATACCAATGGCCTTCGAAAATTTTGAGAATTTTTTTTAGTTATTCTGATATATCGCAGAAAGTGAATTTAGGAAAAAAAATTCTACATTATCATTAGAGATAAAGAGAAACTCAAAATGATGTTCCACAGTGACTTTCGATGAGATCCAACGTGGTGATGATGATTTCTCTACGCGACGTTTCGTATTCGTAGAACCATCATCAACTTTCTTTTTCAAATACGGTACTGATCAAGTGTTCATTAATCATTCCAGAATTACGTCATTTGACGGGTTGCTGAGGGGCAAACATGGTATTTTGTCAAGATATGTCATATAAAACCAGAATAAGTGAGGTCGTTTTCCTTGGAATCCGAGTTGGAACCAGAAAGCATTCCATAATTTTGTTTGGTGAAACTGTTACTATATTGTAGATGTGGTAGGGATGGCCAGGGCTATGCTCATCAAAGGTAACCTCTAACAGATAGTTTGTGTGCCCCTCAAGAAACCATGTAAAAATCACGTGTTCTAGAATGATCAATTGTGAATTCAACAATATATCAAAGAAGGTGGTTTGAATAAATTTCGACCTAGTTTAAGCCATCATCAATGTTTCTCTTCAAATTCCAAAGAGGAAATACCATTAGTTCCACTTGATTCTGATCATTCAGTATTGAAAATATTCAATTCTGAATAGAAAAAACAAATATTTCACTAGATTATTCAATGAAGCGCTTCAAATATTGACACATGTCCCAAAAAAACATCGCGTAATTCTTTTGAATTGGAATATTCATTTGTTCACCTCATTTTCACCCAATATCGAAAAAGCTCCTTGATTTTCAATCGAAAATTCTTGCGTCGAAATGTCTGCTATTTCGAAAAAGTCGGTGAGGTTTTTGTTCGTTCCAGAAAATCTCGTATTCTTGAGTTTACTTATCCTTAGTTGACCATGGCGCCCGTTGTTGCATTGGAAACAATCGATTGCCACGGAAATGACATTGTGATCAATCATGCTGGCTCGTTTGAATTATTCGAATGAAGAATGAATATTACTTAAGTCTATTCATTATTTTCAACTGAAACATGTTAATTCGCCAATATTTCGAGAACTGTTGAGTGTAGGCATAGATAACCTTTTTCAAAGTTACCTCCATTTTCGATGCCGAATCGAATGAGAATTTGAAATTGGGGGGTGTCCATTTGAAAAAATCGACTTATAATAATTTTTTCAACCGGATCTATATCATTTTCTGATGAACGCCCTGTTATCGAATTGATATCGAAATTCTACTGAACTGGATCCTCTCCTGCGGATAAATCGATACACAATCGAAAATAAATGATCATGTCCAGAAATTAAAAAAAAAATATTTTTCGGTCTGCAAACGCAATTTTCAACTTGAAATTTGAAATATTTCGAAAACGATTAGACTTGGGTATAGGACATTATGCATGAAACATGTTCAGATTAATGAGTAAAATCTAAAACCTCGATAATATACAGGGTGTCCCATTCGAAATAACGAAGTTGGGGTCCACTTCTGGTACAACCGGAAGTGCCACAATCTTCAAAATATTTCAGCCGGATAGCAATTATCAACAATAGTGAACTCCCAAATTTTTCAAGTACCCACCTATGGTTTTCTATATATTGATCGATGCAGGACCCGGAGGGACACCCTGTATACATTACTAGTGTAAATGTTCTCAGAAAATGCAAAGAAACGAAACTCGAATCCAAACTTTTTTATCATTATGTACAATTTTCCGTTCCAAGACTAAGTGAAATTAGGTACTGCTTTCCGTGAGGGTATACAGGGCTTTCATTTCAAAACTTACCACCCTGCATATCTTCTGATCTGTGAAGATTACAATTTTCGGAAAAAACAGGTCGATTTAGATATCAACGGGGAAGTAAAATAACAGTATCAATTGAATGCTATGTTCATCCTCTTCATATTCAAATATTTTTTACGTATACAGGGTGAGTCATGAGGTACTGTACATACTCCGCTACCGCGAATTCAATGTGTTCTTATCTCGGTTCCTATGCTGTTCTTCTTTTTAGCGAGTTGGAGTCGAATGGTACTATATTCGCTATGAATTTCAAATAGTAGTACAGTGCAGACTCGATAATCCGAACGTTCAATAATCCGAATTCTTCAGTAGTCCGAACAAGCATTTTTAATACATTGAGTACTCTATAATCCGAATTTCATAGTACTCGATAATCCGAACCTATACCTTTAGGCCTATTTATCTCCTATAGAAATTGTGGTTCGGAGGCATTTAAGAAATCATGATTTGCCTGAAAAGGCGCTATTAATCATAGATAATGCCTCAAGTCATGGAACTTTAGAAGAGCTAACTAGTGAAGATGGCAGATTTACAGCATTATTCCTCCCACCAAGTTGTACAGCACTCTTGCAGTCTATGGATCAAAATGCTATCCGACTAACCAAATTATTTTACCGAAAAAGCCTTTTGGCGCACATTTTGTCAAGTAACGAAGACAGCGTTGTTACGTTGTTAAAAAGGCTTAACCTAAAGGATGCAGTCTGTCTGCTATGCAACGCTTGGGAAAAGGTCTCTTCACAAGTCTTGCAGAAGTGCTGGAACAGAATTAAGTCAGACAACAATGAAGACATTGAATATGATGCCGAGGATCTAATTCCTTTAAGTAAATTACGCCGCAATATGCTTTCTTTAGATGGAGATATGGAAGGTAAATTTTTTTTAATGTTTTTTCGCAAATTTTCCTTATCTAACTCTAATTTTTAGAGGTTGGTGAAATGCTTAATGTTTTGGCAGAGCCAAATCTTACAAACGTGGAAATATGTAATTGGGTGGAAAATGATGAAAATTTGTTACCGTTAGAAGAAGCAGATGAAGATGAACCTGAAGTTAGCGACCATGAGCAATTAGATAATCCAAACAAAACTGTTAAGAACGCTGAAGCAGCTAATAGTTTTAATCTGTGTTTGAAATGGGCCGAAGAAAATAATATTCCGTTAAATGATATTCTTGTACTTCAAAGATTAAAAGAAATGGCCTTTATAAATAATCAAAGATGTGTTAAGCAAACAAGCAAACTTTAGGAACTAGTATTATATTCTTACTTTTATGCATATTTTAGTGTTACTTTTTCGTATTATGTTTTTTTTGCATTTCGTGATAAAAAATTGAAAAAAAAAACTGCTTCGGTAATCCGAATTTTTTGGTAATCTGAATCGCCTTGGTTTTTATTAGTTCGGATTATCGAGTCTGCACTGTAACGACGTAATGAAGAGTGCTAGAATGTAATAGATCTATTACTATTGCAATAGCAATCGAAACCCTGCTTGGGCGCGTCCCTTTGCCTAATAAATGTTCTCTTCTTCCGCAGACCAACCTCCTGTCGGAACGCCGGCGTCGCAGCCGTCTGGCGAGCTTCTGGCGCGTGCGCGCTTGGTGCGAGGCCTGGTGGCACTCGGGCCGCGAGGACAGCGACGACGAGGAGGAGAGCCCCAGCGAGCAGGGGGGCCAGGGGTGCATCACGCCCCTGTCGCTCGACACGCCGCTGCAGAGCTCCGTGTCCAGGTGCACGTCGCTCAACGTCATCAGGTGAGAGAAGAGGTGAAACAGCGCACAACCTCATACCAATGAACTCAATATTTATTTATTTATATATTTACTTACTCAGTTCACAGAATAAATCCAATTAAGAACTAAGAATACAGTAATATAAGTTAACAAGAATAATGATTCACATCTATTGTCTAATACGAAAAAAGAAAGATCTAATCTGCTGGATTGTTGTACGAAAAATGTCAAAAGCTGTGCAACGATCATTATAATTTCTACAGATCCTTTGTACTGATGGAGAGTTTCTACATATGTTTGTGCGTGGAGTTGGCAAGTAAAAGGTTCGATTCACTCGGGACGCCATTCTTGGAACGTGAAACTGAATTCTTTGCATCAAATAATGGAAGTCACATGAGTTGTTGATTGTTTTGAAAAGTATTACATTTGAATGGTACTCTCTTCGAGTTTGTAGACTGCTAAATGAATGTCTCTCAAGTAAATTTGTATGTGGTATGCCAATTTCTGGATATTCTCCATCTATTCTGAAAGAAAGTAGTTTTAAAAAGCGCCGCTGAATCGATTCAAGATTGTCGATGTGAGTTTTTTTATGAGGACTCCAAATTACCGAAGCATATTCCAGCTTCGATCGGACAAATGCATAATACAGACTTTTAAGAGTTACAGTATCCTTGAAATCTCTGGAGTATCGAACTATACAACCATAGGATTTGCTGGCGGTTGACGATATTTGTTCGATGTGAGTTACAAATGAAAGTTTTGGATCAAATATCACCCCCAGATCTTTGAACGTCTCTCTGTAAGTCAGTATTATCAATGGTATAGTTGAACATGATACAAGATTTCAAAGTGATCCGGGATTAAGAAATAACTTATTGGAAATACACCATTCGTTGATTCTATCTAAGTTATCTTGTAATAATTGACAATCATTTGTTGTTGAAATTCTGTGGAATATTTTCATGTCGTCAGCATATAGCAAACCATTAACTTCGATGCCTCCGAGTATGTCGTTAATAAATATATTGAATAACAGAGGACCAAGGTTCGACCCTTGCGGTACTCCAGACGTAGCGAGATATTCGACTGACCTGACCTGTGACCACGGCACTCGACATATTGCCTTCTTGATGATAGATACGACAGAAATAATTCGACCAAATGAGCAGAGAAACCAAGTTTAGACAGTTTATTCAATAGAATACCGTGATCAAGTCTGTCGAAAGCTTTAGAGAAATCTGTATAAATTACGTCTGTTTGAAATTGAACATCAGGGGCCCGATTCTCGGATCTGTTGAAATTCGTTCCCATGGAAAAAATTCGATATTTCCTATGGAAATTTTAGATGATGTATTCTTGAACTATCGTATGGGGAACTAGGAACTATTCCTACACATCTCAAGAGAACTGCTTCCCATGGTAATATCCATGGGAACAACATGTTTCCCCATAAGTCCCATAGGATACACCCATGGAATACAAGGTTATTCTCATTTGTGATCGGAACTGAACCCTAGTGAAAAATCGGGGAAACATATGTGTAGCAAAACATGGCAAACATATATAAAATGGATCATCTAGATGCTTCACAGAATTTGGAAGTGGCTGGAATCCTTGCAAGAAGACCAAGAAGAAGGTTTTTGCATAGAAGGGACCCATTTGAGTATTTGTCTGCTGCACAATTTATAAAAGTTTTTTCGTTTGTCCAAAGACATTAATAGAGAATTAATATATACTCTAGAATCCTTATGAGTGAATTGGAGGTGAAATTTTCCTTTCCTGAAAACCTCAGAGGCCTCCATTATTTCTATTGAAAGTCTTTCACGCTCTTTGCTAATACCTCGTGGTTTTTTAATATTGTTTGTATCCATATCCATTTCGATCAGAGGAAATATAGTAAATATACAATACATTATAATCTCATTGTCGCAAAATTAAATTATAATATGATCTCAAAATTAGCCGAAATCGTAATTCCCTAGGGGCCCGATTCTCGAATCCGTTTGGAATTCGTTTCCATGGGAAAAACTCGATATTTTCCAAACATAGATGAAATTGATTATCTAGACAATCTAGAGGCTTTACAAAATTTGGAAGTGGCTGAAATCCTTGCTAGAAGAACAAAAAGAAAGTTTTTGCCTAGAAGGAACCCATTTGAGTGTTTGTCTGCTGCACAATTTATTGAAGTTCCTCGTTTGTCCAGACTTTATTAGAGAATTGAATGGTACTTTAGAATCCTCATTAGTGAATTGGAGGTGGATGTTTCCTCTCCTCAAGTCTTCTAAGGCTCCATTATTTCTATCAATACCTCATGGTTTTTTAATATTGTTTGTATCCATATCCATTTCGATCAGAGGAAATAAAGTAAATATACAATACACAATAATCTCACCATCGCAAAATTATATTATAATATAACCTCATAATTAGTCAAAATGAAAATAACAACATTTCATTTCAATCATCCACCAGTTACCAACATAAATTGCACTTATTTCATTGGTGAATTCATGTAAGCTCAAGAATCTATCTGCGATATACGGCACTTTTTCAATCCCCTGCGAAGAACGATTCCATCTGGTTCAAGAATAGGTGTCATGACAGATTATCATTTCGTATGAGAACTGAAAGCATTGGATAATTCTCCTAAAGGATCGGATTCCTACAGATTCGAGAATCGGGCCCCTTGGAAGGGATCCTCAGTGAACGACGAGTTACGGATAACTGTCTCTTTCATGAACGTATAAAAAAGAAGGACAAAGCAACTCTATAGTTTCAGCATATAATGTTTCGAATTCGAGTATGTAGGCAAGCGGGGAGGGAAACGGTAACGATAGACTGTGCTATTTCCTCAAACGACAGCGGCGTGCGAAAATAAATTTTCGTGATAATATATTTGGGACTGTAAAATGCAAAGAGCGACTGAAAACTGGTTATTGATCCAGGTCGCTATGGGTTGTACGAAGTGAACATATACCTGACAAATACATTTTTGTGTTTCTACAAAACCTTTCATCTATTGGAAAATTATAAATTAAGTTTTGTTTTATACGTCCATGATGTTTTTCTATTTTATGTTGGCTAATGGGAAGCGCTCTCATTATTTGAAATATGTTCTTGTTTTTTGCTTCTATTTAAGAGTATACGGAAAGGTTAATGTTGCGATCAATTATTGTTTGGAAATATTTATTGATTGTCTTATTGACTCAAAAGTGAAATTCCATTTTCATTCTTATAGGATTAGGAAGGCAAATGGATTCAAAATTGAAATTATATATTCTCAAGCCCAATATCTCACCACTATCAAAAGAAATATAAAAACGATAGAAAACATTTGGAAAGAGGTTCTTGAATAGTATCGAGTACCTATTTTTTCATAAACATTTCACTGTTTGAAGGTGAATGGAAGGTGAATAAGAAGTGAATAAAAGTTCAATTGTTTCATTAAAGATAAAATATCTGCGTCGCCCAGAATGTACACCTTCATGTTCTCCTTTCTGGAGAAGGAGAAACTCCAAAGGCAAATCTGAAAAGACAAATATTATGATTTAACTCTTTAGTTTGAAAATTTAAACTTGTAGTTTCAACCTTCAGAATGTTTTTTTAATACCTCCTCAAGATTGTCATTCTCCTTCTTACTTTTTGTTTCAGTGTTTTTACATTTCTTTGCAATAGAATAGGCCTTCCCGAATGAAACAGTATGTGGGTTTCATTATAAATACACTTTGAAAGGAGCTGGAAGTTGTGAGCAAATCAATGTCTATATGAAAATCATCGTCCCTAAAACCCAAGTTATGAACATATTGAACATCCACAGATACATCCTTGAAATAAATTACTATAATTTTTCTAAGAATCTGAACAATTTTCAACTCACCTATGGAGAACAATTTCTGTATGTCTTGCTTGTTGCATCCGAAGGCAACACAATATGAATAACCATTATTTATTGATTCGAAATCACAAATCTTTTCAACAATAATCAATTCACACCAACAAAATTCAGTCCTTCTGAAGATACAAAACACGCCAAATTTAGCGATATTTCACATAACAAAAAACAATCAAGTTCTGTCTTCACTTTTTTGCCTATTCCGATGAAAAAAAGATCTCAAGTACTCCAATCATTTCATAAAATAAATTTATACACCAATCCGCCATTCAACAACACGCGAGTGAGAAAGAGACAGGTTACCGTAACACAATCTATCTTTGTTGCAGCTGCCCCTGACACACTCTATGCGATTATGGAGATTATATCCCAAGGCTTCAGCCAAGGGGTATAAGGCCCCGTGGTTATAATATTCTTCACTACCAAGGTTTATATCACATTTTTTTACCAATAGCAATATATTTCAATCATTTTAGTTCTGTGAAACTGAAATATAAACCTATTGTCATTATGGAAGCACTTACTTTCAATTCAGATTCCAATCGAGTAGCCATGAACATGACATCATTATGACGGAAATACCTAGTTCATTCAAGTGTCATTAATGCGAATCTTGCGTAGAACAGTGAATTGGGGCTTATTATAACAGAGATGGCTACCTATGTCTTTATTGACTAGTGGTTCATAAAATGATGAAAACTGCCTTGGTAGTAAAAACACACTTTACGAATGGGAGTAAATAGTTGTAGCATTTCACGCTCGTAGTAGATATACCTAGTTAGTGTGTGACGGGCAGATCGAACATTCATGGTTGATGGATTTGTTCCAGGGATTCATACGGCCCAGGCGTCCGCGATCACTCATTCATCCAGGCCAATATAACCCCCACCCGCCTGGCCCCGAGAGACTCCCGAAGTCTGCCGACAGGCAATCGGCTTGGGGCGAAGTCTCTCTCCTCCGACAGCGTGTACACCATTCTCATTCGGTTGCCTGGTGACCCGCTAGATGGTGACGCGTGCAGCGAGGCGCCATCTATCAAGATGATCCCAGAGGCGAGTATATTTCAATAATGGATATATATAGTCTTTACAAATTCAGTTGAGTGACTTCAACTTTACATTCTAATAGGATTAAACTTTCTAGGGTAAAACTGCACTTATGATGCGATGTTTTTTTTTTTCGAAAATTGTTTCTCGTATCCACGTATTTTTGTCTGAAAAATAATAATTTGATAATGAAAATGTGAGCAAACCACTATTTATGTTGATGTTTTTGCTACTTGCTCTTCTCATTTTGTCATTGGACACTTCATAATTATACAGGGTGTTTCATAATTGAATGTCAATATTCGAGAAGGCGATTCTTGGGCCCATTCTAAGAATGTATTATTAACGTATGACCTAAACGTCCTAACTTTTGAAATACAGGGTGGTAAAGTTCTCAAAAATTAATATAGCCTACTACAATCAAGTTATAATTCCAAAATACCAAATACGAATACGAAGTTCATAAACTATGAATTGTATTTCTGAAATGTTATCTAAAAAATGAAATCTCTTTCTCTACTTTGTGATGTCATGTTAACAATATTGCCATTATCATGTAGTAAACATTTTATTTTTTAGGCGAAAACCGTGCATCAGATTGAAAAAATTGTGGTGATCAAATTTGCTTAGAAATGATTGGGAATTTCAGGGATGATTTCAATTTCGAGATGAATCAGTGGCGTACTATCAATGTCTGCCAAAATAGGTATATGAAATTCCATACGAACGCCACTGGTGGCAACCAAACAAAATGTAGTACACTAACTGATGCCTCTTGATACATAGTACATGTATGCCAAATTTCATTGAAAATTCTGAAGTGGTATTACAGATATTGATATAAAACTATTAATTTTTGAGAACTTCAACACCCTGTATCTCAAAAGTTAGAACGTTTAGGTCATACGTTCATATGAAACTTTCTTCTTAGAATGGGTCCAAGAATCGCCTCCCCAAATATTGACATCCAATTATGAAACACCCTGTATACTCATGATGTATTTCAATGACACATTTAGTGAACAATCATACCAGATGACGGCCATTAAATCAATATATAGTCAATCCAAATACGAGATAAATGTCAACAGATTGCTCCTGAGTGACATCACACACGCCATTCTTTCAAATGATATTCTATTTCACTAAATATGGATGAATAGCAAGAAAATCATATCTCTATAGTTAACTCATATAATAGAAGAAGTACATTGTGATATATAAATTGTCCAATGATGAAAATAGGATGAAAAAGAGTTCCAAATGCGATCCAAAAGAAAGGCGGAAAAGAAGGTGAAATTTGGAACTTTATAGTGAAATATCTTGATGAATAATGGTTTGTTCACATTTTCATCATCGAATTCGTATTTTTCAGACAAAAATACATAAGTACCAAAATTTTCGAAAAAAAAAACCCATCGCACACGATAAGTGCAGTTTCACCCTTTTTAGTATCAAGGATTGAACACGTAATATTTTCTATTGAGCTTCCTCGGTAATGAAATATAGATAATCTCATCGTTACCTTACCAAAGATCTAAGAATATTTGAGAAAAAAATTATTCGTTCTACCAAAATGAAATATCGAGTGAAATATCATTATCAGCCGCTGTTGGCGACAGATTCGCGAAGTAATTTGCTACACTCAAGTGACTTTGCAAATACTATATTAGTATAGTCTATCCAAAATCAGATGGAGCACCTTGAGCAAAAACATACGCAGTGATGTCGCTTTGTTTGAACTTCGTTTGATGTCCATGCACGTGGCGCAAGGTAAGTAGAAGAGATAATATATAATATGTTGTCTCTTTCCTTCCAAACAATCAGCTCTAGCGCGGAATAACGTCATCCTGAGTGCCCATTTCAAATCGTTAACCTTTTATACATGGTTTTTCACTTGAAACTCCGCACGCCCATATCTCGAAAATGAATAGGAATATTTAATTTCTGTTAGAAGCAGTCAATGAATGGGGTCAAGTAGGATTTTTTTTCAGAGTTCAATGAATTCAACGTCTACTAAGAGCTGAGCGTCGTAATCGATGGCATTGACTTTGAAATGGAGCACACTCAACAGTAGGTACATGTTATTTATCAAATTTTTCGTCATTTTCTCGAACTTCATTCTACTCATGCATTGCTGAGTTATACCGGTTTCTTGATTGACAAAAAGAATGCCATTTTTTTTACTCTTTTCTTGTTAAAGTAATGAACAAAATAATTGCAATTAACTACATGATACAACGAATTAAATTTTTTGTTGAAAATTATGTCCATCTGCTCGAATACAAGTTTCAAAAACTTTGAGCAGGTGAGCTAGGGTCACTTAAGGAAGCGTCCTTCTGGTTCAATAAGATCAGCAATATATTCGATTGGTTCTTCATATACAAGAATGAGGATAAGGATAACACTGTGCGTGAACTCCTTTTGCTTTCTTACAATTCGACATGCATTCTCCAAACACCAGTAACATGTCTACTATTTCATCATTGCTAAATTGAATCATTCTCATATAATGATTAGTAAATTTGTTTAAACCGAACAAATTCGAATATTTCTTGTAACAAAATATGACAATACCTCTGACACAGTAATGATCTGTCGCTTGTAACTGCATTCAAAATAATTGCGATAACAATGGTTACCGAAGTAACTAATACTCATGACATTTTTGTGAAAATCATCCGTAATCGCATTTTCTGCCAATCAAGGAACATTTACTATGAACCGGTATAACTCAGAAAGGAGTATAATGAATAAGATCGAGTATATAACAAAAAAGTAAGTAATATAACAAAGTCAATGCAATCGACTTATATTTTCTACTCGTCGCAGTGCTCAACTCTGAGTAGGCGTTGAATTTTTCAAACTTTGAAGAAATCTAATTGACCCCATCCCTTGACAACTTTCTACAGCAATTGTATATTTCTATTATTTTTCGAGATATTGGCGTGCTGAGTTGAAATTGAAAAATCCTGTATATCAGAAAATCAAAAGAATTAATCATATGGCAGTATTTTGAAGACATGAATCTATTAAAACATTTTTGTGAGTTTAAATTTTCGAACCAATAAGTGATACCTATATAAAAATATGATATGTATAGAGGGATATTGAATATTTGTGAAATATCAATAAACTGTAACTTTCCCCTTGATGAACAATACAGGTTAGATATAAAAAAAATGTTTAATACTAATACGTGGGTATATTTGATGTTAATTCATACGAGGTAGTTTCTGGAATAAATGCACATAAAATATCAGCTTTTTTCTGATTCTTCTGATCAACGAGCAATTTCTGATTGAAAATTCAACAATAAATAGCAAACAAGCAAGTATGGCACTCAAGGACAATTTAAATAATTGAATTCCGCCTAATTATCTCTTCCTCGCAGAATTTTTCACAGAAGGGACGTCAGGATTTCCCTAGGGATTTCCATAGTGTAGAACTCTGATCCCAAACTTTTTCATTGGTGTCATTCGATCACCCTGTTTACATGACTTTGATTAATTAATTGAGTTAACATATCAACACAAAATTATGTGGAGAAGAATGGATATTACACAGTATCATTTTAGCTTGTATATATTATTCAATTTACAATGCATACAGAGGTATTTTCTCCTCTTTCTCAACAGACATTCCTGATATAAACTGTATTCACCCTGGATTATGAATATCTGCTAATGCCACAACTTTCACTACTACAACCTTGCACGTGGAGTTCCTTGCTTGAGGTGCTCCAGCTGACTTTTGGACAGACTATAGTAGCAACATGCTTTCTGTGATTATGTTGGATTATTCAATTTCGAGCAGGTGCCCCACAAAAAGCACGATGACGATGACCACTTCATCCTGAACAGTTCCAATCAAGCGAACCACGTGAACAGGCGGCCGTCGGCCATGCCAGACATCCGCATCCCTCTCAACGCCAAGATCATCCCCAAACAGCTGGCCGGCAAGACGTTGCTGGCCAACGCCACCAAGAACCAGGGCAAGAAGAAAAAGAAGACGCAGGAGAAGCGCGCAGACAAGAAGGCTGCCAAAACGCTCAGCGCCATCTTGCTCACGTTCATCATAACATGGACGCCCTACAACATAATGGTTAGTTGATCATGAATTTACTCAGTACATATTTTTTACAGACGTTTTTACTGTAAATTTGTAAAGACCCTCTCTGGCAAATATCTGCAATTTCCGACAGGGACCTTCAAAGTATTAGTATCCATTCGTTATAGACTTCAAAACGCTGACCTTAGATGGAGAACATGAATTCCTCTCTCCTTGATGACCTTGCGAGCACTATCCAGTACTATTCTTTAACAGAATGAATATAAAACGGTTTGATTAAAGCATTTTAATCTTTCAGTCATCGTAGGTTGACTTGTCCACACTTCATCACTACGAAGCAATGAAGCATGATCGAAATAGCGAACATTTCGATAGCAGAACCTATTTTTACCACATACACTGATACGTGAAACTTCATAGGGTTTGTTTAGGTTAGGTTATGAGTGAGTGGGTTTATTCGGCCCTCCACTGCGAACTGAAAGGGTCTATTGTGGCTTTCATCAATTTCCAAGTAGAAGCAGCTTCTTAATAAAGCAGATAAGTTCACTTGGTGAGTGATCTTTCAGGTCCGAGAGCGAGAGTGGAACCCTGCCAAACAGCAAAAACCTGATTCGAGCCTCGACAAGGAAGGCACAGGTCATACCTGCTGTATTTTAACATTTGTTTATTAACATTCTTCGAAGGATGTATAAATGCCTTTGAATGATCCAATCCTGGTAGATCCTGCCAGGAGTCTGAAACTCTTCTTGCAGACCATGAGTTCAGTATATGTTTGGCGAAAATTGATAAGATGCCAATGGCAGGTTCTGGTCTGATGAAACTACTTGCGGCACTCAGAAATAATGTATTGTGTCTTTCAATCGTTCAGTACCAGTCAAGGACGTTGACCGGTTTGTCCTAAGTGCTTCCAAATCCGCTTGGCTATCCGAGAATATTTTCATTGTTTTATGTGTGAGGTTGGTTTTCTCCAATCTCTCCTCACACACATCAATGGCGTATATTTTCGTCTGGAAAACGTTCGCATAGGACCCGACTCTTTTTTGCCGTAGAATCGTATCTCTTGACGATGAAAGTACATCAGGTTTAAGGCAAATATACTACAAGTTTTCCCCAGAAAGTTTATATCGTATTGTATGCCTAAGGGGTGGATACATTCCGACCCAAAGATCTATTGTGCCCCCTTATTTTGCTTCACCCGATGAAGTTGTTCTCTAATCCTATCTTCCTCAGAAATTCCAGGATATAAGGTGGTTCCAGGTAGTGTAGTTCTTCTTCCTCTTTTATGTATGTTCCGAGATTTCTTGCCCTTGGGTTCTGTGAGTAGGTGATACATTCCGTAAGTTCATGTAGATTATCTCTTCCTCTTTCCCACAGAACTTGCATTCACCTTCTCCTTTTGAGCTGAGCCTTCTAAGATATCCTTTAAACCAGCAGTGCCCTATTAAGACTCCCCATCAGTATACAGAGTTCATTTGTGCTCAGGTTAGGTTATGTTTGCGTTCGATATTTCGGTGTTATATGTTGCCAATAGTATATTAGCCTGTCTGAGAAGTTGAGGATTGTTTCAGATGTCCAATCTCTGTTTCGCTTTCTCTCTTCTAATTTCTGTTCAAACAGAACTGCTGCTGATCTTGTAGAAGGGTTCTGGCCACACAACGAGGTTTAGTGTTCCTGCCCAAGCGCACGTTTCTGCAGATCTTGCACAGCAAGTGGCACAACAGGAACAAGGCTGCCATGAACAAGATGTTCTACAATTAGCAAAGAAGCGAAGCGAACATTGGAATCTTCGCATCTTAATTTTTCAGCATGATCTAGTGCACATTTCAGTCCAATAGATTCTTGTATTCAAACATAACCCTCAGGTATTGATTCCTCTGTTGGTATCTGATTCTGTGACGAATCCACACAGTCATGTGAAGTCCCTCTTCAATTGACATAATTTGATAATCTGGCTATAAAAGGTGATTGTCGCTTTATAGACGCTTGTTGAGATCGTCTCCATCTAAAGCAGCAAAACGCTCGAATCTCTTTGGCCCTCAAACATTTTTTGATATTGTACTGATAATCTGTGAATTGGATTCTTCAGTTCGTGAATACTCTTCCAGGAAGTCGTCTCATCTCTCTCTGATAGAATCTCAGCCTGTTAGCACATCAGAGGCACTATTATTTCATTGTTCGTTGCACTCACAATCTTTATACTATGGGACATAATATGTGCTATATGTTTTTGGATATATCTACTCGAGGTTCTTCGAATATAGGTACTTCATTTTTTGGTCTCGTGAAGTACATTGTCTGCAGGTGAGATCCACAGTCCTATTTAGTCTAGATGATTCTTGAACAGACAAAGGCCCGTCACGCATCAGGACTGATTGCTGCTGACTTCCAAGAAGTCTTCTGCAGTTCCAATAAATTAATCCACCATCTCATTGTGTGTGCCCTGTTTCATATTTCAACCAATTCTTGCTTGAGGACCGTATCCCTTAAAAGATGAGACTACAGGTTTCAGGATAATATTTTGCATGGTTCACCAGGGTTATTGTCATATTAACAATGATAATCATCAGGTCCTGCTGAAACCAGTGACGTCGACGAGCACCCACATCCCGCCGCAAGTGTGGGACTTCTTCTACTACCTGTGCTACATCAACTCGACCATCAACCCGATGTGCTACGCGCTGTGCAACGCCAGCTTTAGGCGCACGTATCTGCGCATCTTGCAGTGCAAGTGGCACAACAGGAATAGGGCGGCCATGAATAGGGGGTTCTACAACTAGCAGAGAAGAGGGGCGAACGTCGGTATGGATTTGCAGGTGCGTTTCGACAAGTAGCGATCGGTCGGTCTACGCTTGGAGCTAGCGGTCCGGTTCGAGTCGGAAACGGTCTTTGAATGAACAGGGATCACTGATCAGAAATCTTATAGTTGAAAATTTCAACAAGCCTTAGTAAACGAACAAAAAATAGAAAAAAAATCGTGTGGTTGCCATTTTGTGAAAAGTGGTAGAAGAAAGTGCCATGAACTACATACTAAAAATCCCGTAGGAGATGAGCAGGGCGATAGGGTAGCGTTTGATGATGAATTTTTCAAGTTATTCTTGAATAACTCGGGAATTGCAGCTCTAGCGGAATAAATGATGGTATACAAAATTGACCATAATGAAATTTCCTATAAAAAAAGTTCAATGATTATGCGTCTACATTGAATAGTGTCTGAGATACAGGAGATGAGCAGGGCGATAGGGTAGCGTTTGATGATGAATTTTTCAAGTTATTCTTGAATAACTCGGGAATTGCAGCTCTAGCGGAATAAATGATGGTATACAAAATTGACCATAATGAAATTTCCTATAAAAAAAGTTCAATAATTATGCGTCTACATTGAATAGTGTCTGAGATACAGGAGATGAAAAAGTTGAGATGTATCCAAGATAGAGTTGAATGGTTTAAAAATGGTGTTAAACGTAGGTGTAACAAAAAACTACTCATCAAAAATTCAACATATTGAATGTATAGGTACGTTCCATTTATTATCAACAATTATTTATCATATTCGTCATAATTCTCCATATCCAGGAACGGAAATCTACCTGCTGCTCCACACTAGGAAAAATCACTCCTGCAATCTCCTCTGATGACGAGCAAAACCCGGCCTATCAGGCCACCTGCTCGAGCTAATAATTAATTACTCGGAAACGGTGAGTTCAACATAAAAAAGTATAACTCGTTTTTCCTTCCAAATCATGGTTTTCCACCTACCGGAGCCATTGAATGGTCCAAAATTCGTAGTTCATTTGAAGTCGCTATTTATTCGAGACTGAAAATGAAAAAAAATTATGCCAATCCTGTTAGTTCGGAATTAGGTGATTTTTTGCATATGGAGGTTCTAAAGCATGAGGAACAATAATATGAGGTTATATTTTCTGTAAAAAAATGCCTGATATGATTATATGAAAAATCGACCCCTTTTCAGTACAATGAAAACGCACCTGATCATATTGATGGTTATTCATACCACACCAAATTTGGTTGGAATCGCATGACTAATAACTGAGATATAGAGATGGGGCCGTTTAAAGTGAGACACGCTGTATATATGGCGCATCGCCTGTACGATATCTCAACAAAAATGGGATCAAGATGAGAGGTGCTCTTTGAATCTATAAGGACGGAAAGTGAAGGATGGAAACAGTCATATTGACCATTCCAGAACACGTGATTTGGTTGACATGGTCTCTTGAGGGGCACACAAACTATCCGTTAGGTTACCTTTGATGAGCATAGCCCTGGCCATCCCTGCCATATCCACAATGTAGTAACAGTTTCATCAAATAAAATTATGGAATTCTTTATGGTTCCAACTCGGATTCCAAGGAAAACGATCCCACTTATTCTGGTTTCATATAATAAATCTTGACAAAATACAATGTTTGTCCCTCAGCAACCTGTCAAATGACGTAATTCTGGAATAATTGATGGGTTTGACAAGTTTCGTATTATTTTTTCCCTACGTCGGCATCAACGCCTATTAGTCGATTTCGTTACCCATGGAGACAGAAGTTGGCTCCGCTTTAAGAACAGGTATGCTTTATATATGAGGAGTACATATATGGATGAAACCATGTCGAAATACTGCACCCCTCATCCCAGTGACAACCAAAGACCCAGTAGCACCTGAAGCGACACTGAACAGCATATTTTGCCAATGCTCTACTGGATGTGGAGGATGATGTGGGTGCCAAAAAGCTAAAATTCCATGCATGGCATTTGGTGCCATGGTACGTGTGGGAATGGTGCAACATTGCTGGATTGGATATGGGAAATTATGGTGAAGATGATTATTCATTATTTATTATTGATATGTATACATTCCATATATGGTTGTATCAAATGAGTGATGTGTTTGGTTCTTTTACTATTGACGTTGAACACCAATTTCATTCAACTAAACTCTATTGTTCATACTTCTCGATTTTTTTCATCCTCTCTATCTTTGAAACCAGTCATTGAAGACAAGAACTGAATGAGCCTCTTTCTAGGAAATTTCATGTTGTTTAATTTTGTATATCCATACTTTTCCGCAAGAGGCCGCGATTTTCGTGTAATTCAAGAATAATTTGAAAAAATGACCTCCATACGGTCATCAAAAATTTGCAACTACACGATTTTTTCCATATTCGACCTCTCTTGGCAATCCTTAATTGAACTATTTATAATGAAGGAGACAAAAAGAAAAAATAATGTTTCCTAGATTTGCTGGAATTTTCTGTCCTAATTCAGTATTATTTCAAATTACTCTTGGTAAGAACAAATCAGATGATCTGGCCCAAAGTGTCATTGCGAGGAGAATTTCTCACTGAAAGTTCGTAACGCCTTGATAGAGAATGTTTGATGGAGAGAAAATCATAGATATATGTATTAGAGAATTTCTAAAGTTTACATATCTTTGCCAGACTTTTGGCAACGGAGGTACTTCCGTATCATTGAATAAGAGGTATTTCTTGTTAACTCTTATTTCAATAAATATCACTGAATAGTACTGGTAATAATTGCAGAAGGCTGATTTTCGTTTTCCTTCGATTTGGATCCTTCATAATTTCTATTATGAAACTTTGTTCAAAGTCTTTCTTTGTAGACCGTAAATGACTACTATCGAAAATCTGCCGTCTGCGATCGTAACAAGGTACAACTATAATTCAGTCATATTTATAAAAAAATTAGAATTAACGTGTCTGCTTCCGTTCTCAACATAAACAATGGAAAATATTATTATCCGAAACTTCCAAAGATAGGTAAGTAGGGTTTCGATATTCGTTCAATATATCAATATTTCTTTTTTCAAACATTTTTCAGAGCAAAGTTCCACTGACGAACGATTGAATTCTTCATTTATTCTCCATCTTTGATAGAAATATCGTTAAACGCAGTGACATTTTGGGGCAATCCATCTGATTTTTCCCCGCTACACGAATATTCAAATAATACTCATATTTTCATTTTATAGAAACGAGGAGAGAGAATCTCATTCGATTTATAAGCCCTCATCTGTTTCACAAATTTTCTAGAATCCACCCATATAAATGAAGATTGCAAAATGACAGAGACGATGACGAATATTTTCGCGAGAATCTGAATACGGACCTGTGTTGATAGTTTGATTTCTGAATGCGTTTTTTAAAAATGTCACATATTGAACTCGTAGGCTATTTTTCAACTCATTTTGAAGGATTTTATCAATTTGTTTGTTTCCATAAACAAGTTTTCGTGGAAACAAATTTTCGGTCGGATCCAGATGGCTCGTGCCCTCAAACTACCGACTACTCCTAAAAGAATAGGAATATCGGTTGAATAAAATAAAATATGGATATATTCCATATTCTATAAAATAAGGACAATATCTGATTCAGGCCTCTAAACGAAAATCTCAAATTTCTCTACCACTTCAACTAGAACGTTTCCAGAACCATTTAAAATTTTCTGAAAGTACTTCCTCATTGAATTCTTCATGTAAAGTCGTGATTTCGAAGAATAATTATTATGACTTGACACTTGGGTTGAATGAATTAATTCCGAATGAAATAAATTACATTTGTTCAATGTTATTTGATGATGATTTCACATCTATAGAAGGTATCCAGATTTTTTGGAAAACATAAAAAAATCGGAAGCATTCTATAAGTTCAAAATAATTTTTCATATTTTGGATTGCTGCATGGTGTTTCTATAATATGAACACTTGTGATGCCAATATGATATTTCATATGATCATCAGTTGTAATGTGGAATTTCATGATGTCTTTATTGCCACCATTTCGATATTCAAAATGTCAACATACTGAAAAATGGCTTGGTTGTTCTGGGCTATACAATTGGAAAATTCCAAACAAAATGAAAATTCAATAAATCAATATGCATAGCTCAATACTTACTGATTTTTCTATGTTGAACCAAGGATGATATGATTTCCAATCAGTGAATATCCCTGTTCGTTCCTGCACAAATTTAGACTGACCTTATAATATTGATGAACTGAGTCATTTGGTGCTATAAAAAAATGAATCTTGCGTATCGCCCCTGCGTGTAGTACGATTCGCCCCCCTCTTTCAATATTACCCCCTCTAACCCCCGAAACTGTGTACCTTTTACACCCCGAATATATCCTCAACGAACATAAATGAACTTTCTAGATGTTTTTATATTTGTAAATGTATTATCGCTCAAATCGTGTTCTAAAATTATGGAAAACAAACCAGTATGTCACCTGGAGTTGCCTGAGAACTACAGAGATTTCATCAAATCAAATCTGTTCATACACAATATACTGGGTGTTGCGACATTCAACAGACAAAGCTCTCCTGATGATAAAAAAAGGGCTGGTGTATGAAAATTACACATTCCTAATGAATCGTTAAATTTTGAAAAATCCTATCAAACCCATGCATGGGCGCCGGCATTAGGATGCAAGGGGGTGCACTCGCACCCCCCTGGTGAGAAAGAAAATAAATAGAGAAGATTGATCATTTTGTAATTGAGTTACTATTTGGATGAATATTCACAGATTAGTTTGCCGTTCAAATTTGTTTTTCGCCTACCATATACAGAATGCCCCAGAAAGGTCTGTACAAAATCTCAGCATATGGTCCTGAGTTCAAATTAAGCCGATTTATATCAACTTACCGAAGTCTAAAATTGCTCGAAAAATCCATTTTTGCACTGCTTATTCAAGGACTAAATTATCTCCACGAAGATAACAGCGAACATTTATAATCAAAATAATTCA